GAATATTGTGCCATGGGGAATGCAGAGCTGCTATCACACCAATCTGGGGCTTTGCTAGGCAAAGAAGGCAACCCATGCATACTGTTACATATCATTATCATAAAATTGTGGGCTAGAAATTGAAGAGTCATGCTGTTGCATTTTAGACAGCATATTTGTAATAAGCTGTAATAAAGTAAACATTTTGGATGGATATAAGAATGGGCCTTACTTGCAATCACAAATGTGTGTTCAATTGAAATGCTTTTGAAGCTCAATTTAGCAAAGCAAACACATTTTCTAGCATAATTGTTCCCAGTGTTGAATTCTCATTTAAATTTTTAAAACTTGTATAAAGCTAGCTGTTAAGAAGCTAGGCAGAATGGAAAGATATGTTTTGAAGCAGATAATGTTTTACTGTTGTATGGTGTGTTGTGTGTTTCACTGTTATGTGTCTTAGTAAGGACGTTTTGTCAAAATATTGGTGTAATTATTACATGTTTTGGTCTGTGTCTCAAATAATTGCTCCTGTGTGGTAACTAACCTTTTAAAAAATACAGAGTTATTCTGCATATTTTACAAAAGAAGTTTCATGTGGAATACAGCACAAACTAATGATTAATATCACATGGTATCATAGTGTCCCTGGTCTTAAGAAGCACACCAGTGAGTAATGCTTGGATTTGCAAGTATGAGTTTGGCATATTTGTTTGTTTGTTTGTTCCATTTTTACCCCTCCCTTCTAGATTCAGGAAACTACTCTGGGTGGCTTACAGAATATAAAGATAAAAACAGCATTCAAATAACTTTGTTCATAAAAGCAAGAAACATCAATAAAGAAAACAGGATCCAAGATAGGATAAGGAAGCTATGTAATGGGAGGGGGAAGGCCTGCCGGAAGAACCAAGTCTTCACCTTGTTTTAACATGTAATGTGTGGCCATTAATTTCTGAAAAATTGTAAAGTCTGCATCAGTGGAGACCATGCTGTCAAAATGAGGAGGCTTAGAAGCAACGTATTGGTTTAACTAAAAGGGTTTAATAGAAGAATCAAAGGCATATGGTTTTTGTGAGGAGGCATTAAAAACTAAGGGCCTTGTTACCCAGCTCCCTTCCTGGTTGCAGAGGGCAGGTCCTTACAGTAATTAATAATTCCATATTTGTGTATGCATCCTTTTTAAAAGAAAGCATTATTTGAGTTACAGTGTTATGGAAACGCTTGTTGGGCACTCTTGCTTGTTGGTTTATTGCATTTATATTCCTCCTTTCTTCCTGTGACCTCCAAAGTCTGCATATACAGCTTGCTACTTTCTCACTTCATCCTTTTAACAACCCTAAGTAACTCAGGCTGAGAGATAGTAACTGCCCTAAGATCACCCACTGATTTTTCTGGAAATGAGTATCTGATTACCCAAGTTCGCTTACCGTATTTTTCGCTCCATAAGACGCTCTAAGATCACCCACTGAGTTTTGTGGAAATGAGTATCTGATCACCCAAGTTCGCTTATGTGTGATTTTTAACTAAAAGTTATACTGTACAGTGGACAGGGATACTTTACTAGTGTGCTAAAATGTTAAGGCTGCAATAAATTCTGTTAAAGTGGAGCACCTTCTGATGTTCTTCTATAGTTGAAGTTAATCAGACAAATTATATATTTATTCGCTGCCTTTATACACAAATCCTAAATTGATCAAGAAGCAGTTACAAATAATTACTTACAGTAAATCGCATCTATTTCATTGAAGATTGTTTCCAACTCTTATTGCCTAAATCCTGCTGTTATGTGCTGCTGTTGTTGTTGTCATGTGCGGTCAGGTCACTTCAGCTCGTGGTGACCCTTTGAGTGAGTGACATCAAACCCTCTAATTAGCAGCACTGCTCAGGACTTGCAATCCTGCTTTTGCATTTTCTTCTTCTATAACCACCTTTAGCAGCTGTTTCAGCTCACTGCTGCTTTCTGCCAATAAGATGGTGTTATCTGCATATCTTAAAATACTAATGTACTGATGTTTCTTCCACCCATTTTCAACCCTCCATTTTAATTTAACCCATCTTTCCAAAAACAGTCATGTAGTACTTCGAAATATCCCTTCTTTATCATCACTTTTTTGAAGGGTTCTTTCAGGGCTTTGGTGACAGAAAGATGAATAGGGAAAATGAAACAAAAGAACCGTCCTTTTCATAATGAACAAAAGGACTGGTGCATGAATGAAATGAAAATGACACCCAATGAAAGGGGGGAAATGTGCATATCCCAAATGGCATCCTACACTATAACTGCAATTTTGATATCCTCTTCAATTCAGGTTTCCTTAGATTGGTTTCACCAGAGCAGAAGCAATAGGAGATCATAGAATTACCTTTCTGTTCTTGTAAAAATAAACAATTAGTATTAAAAATCATAGGAAGAAATAAAAAGGGTACTTTTTTGATGAAAAGTAATTATAAGAATTACTGAGATTACCTTTGCAATATGCAGGTTATGCTAGCAGCTTTTTTGCCCAAGAAAATATTAGACCTGTTGTCCTTTACAAATGTAACAAAGGTTTATTACGATGTAGTAACACACAATTTGGTCAAGGCATGTTGTTTTGCAGATTTAAGTCACCCGCACTTACCTTTAATGGATTGATTGATTGACTGATATTATTTATACGCTGCCTTTCCCATGCAGCTCTGAACAGCTAAAACTATATAAAAATTAACAGTATTAAAATACCATATAAATACGACAATAAAAACAATTAAGCATATATCAAGCTTAAAGCTAAGATTTAAGGCCAAAATTAAAAGCAATTTTTAAACATTTTATGAACATTTAAAAAAAAATCTATGTTTAATAAACAAAACATTCCTAAGAGATTTTACTGCTTAAAAGCCAACCTGAAAAGAAAGGATTTTGCCTGATGAGGGAAGGACAAGAGGGAGGGTGTCAACCTTGCTCTTTAGGGTTGTGTATTCCAGTGTAGCAGGAGCAGCCACTAAGAAGGCCCTCTTTCGTGTCCTCACCAAGTGAGCTTGGGAAGATGACAGAACCAAGAGAAGGGAATTATTCAGATTTTTCCCCTTATCTGGAGGCAGGCTAAAGTGGTTCTAAGCATGTATGAAATGCTCATTCATGTGTTGCTTTGTCTACAGACCTCTATCTGCTTACATGAGATAAACCCGATTGACTCTAATAAGAAGTAACCATATATTGGATTGTGCTGTTAGTATCTTATTACCTTACATAGAATCATGGTTTGAAGGGGCCTATAAGGCATTGAGTCCAACCCCCTGCTCAGTGCAGGAATACAAATGAAAGGATATCTGCCAGGTGGTTGTCTTAAATTTCTCTCAGGTGGCTCCAGTGTTGGAGCACCCACCACCTCTCAAGGTAATTGGTTCCATGATTTCACTGCCTGTAAACTAGAGGTTGTGATTATGGTTGGTCAGAAAGTAAGAATTTTGGTGTTTCTTCCTTGTTCTTCTTTCATATTTAAATAGATGGCAGTGTTTAAATTGATTGACAAATTCTGTAAGGAAGAAGCATTTCGGTCATGTTAGTCTTTTCTGAAAATAGCTGTTTTTTTGCATAGCAATATATATAGCATGGCCAAAAAAGTATATAGATAGTACTGTTTAATTGCCACAGTCTAATAAAACAACCACATAATGTTATATTCATCTGCTGAACTCTAAAAGGATGACCAAACCATGGCAATGCTTTGCCAAGAGTGCTGGTTTGTGAAAGTCATTGGCTACGGCAAAGTCTCTTCTCCCTTTTCTGTCCCTTGAGCAGGTGGTTTGCTAACAACCTTTTCCTGCTGCAACAATAGTAATACCGTTTTCCTTGGCAGCTACTGCCAGTTAATATTCATTTCCAAATCATTACACAATGCAAAGTTTCTTCCTGTGTTTAAAGATATTCACTGTGGATTATAAAAGGATGTTGTGTTTTCCTGAGTGTGACGATTATGCTGTCTGAGTCCATGGTTGTGAAACATCTGTTTGAGAAATGCTTTTCTCACATATAGAGAAATGTGTAACGTGCTGTACTAAAGAGGATTATAGAAAGCGGAAAGATCGACCCATCAGGAAGTTAATGAGGCAAACAAGATGGGAATGATATAAAAACCGGCTCAGTCGTGCCTGTATGGTTGCATTAAAACCAATCACTTCTCATGATGTCATCTCTGCTAGAAAGAGAAACTTCCACAATTTTCCTTTCCAGAATGAAATATAGTTGTTACAATAAATTGCAAGTGAATTAATATTGTATTTCTTGAAGAGGGAAGGGACTCATGACCACAAAATTTTAAAAGTAATATCTGTTTTTGCATCAGAATAAATGCTTAATATGAGAATTTTTTTGGGAGAGGTTTTTTTTAATTAAAGCTGTATCCCGCTAAATAAACAGGAAGTCACAATCCTGGAGGTGGCCATCCAGTGGCTTTTTTTTTAAACTATTAAAAGCTCCCGTCTGCCATGAGGTTCCCAAAGGCTTCCCCAAAGCCTAGGGAGCCTTGGAAACAGAAAATGGAAGGATTAATTTAACTTAATTATTTCCAGTGCTCTGATTGGGTTTTGCCCAGAATTTCTGATAATGGGAGCTCTGGATGGTTAGGTTGAATTAATGAACTTAAATAATGAAAATAGATTAGCATGAGGCAAATTATATACCATTGTTAGGTATCACCTCCGTGTCCATCTTGGAGTACTTGCTTGATATACATAGGAAACAGTGACTTGGGAGTATCTGCACAAAAGTGACTGTTTTCACTTAATTGTTTGAACATAAGATTATTTCACAGCCAAGATTGTGCTTTTTTAGTCTTAAGGCTTACATTGCATTTCCTAGCAGATGCCAGAATGGTTATTCCTTTAACTTCTCCAGGTTTCCTAAGAGTTTGTGAGGTGGTTGTGTGCAATATGTTAGGCACATTAGAGCACAGACTCAAAGCTAACTTGAGCATCTTGACAGAGGAAGAAAATACTTTACTTTCCATGGTCTTTAAAAAACATTTGCTTATTTATTACAGGTAACGAAAGACTTAAAGCAATATGACAATAAGATTATAGAGTGCAAGTTTGAGAACAACAGCTGGGTCTTCATGAGGCAAAGGATAGATAAAAGTTTTCCAAATGCTTACAGCACTGCAATAGGTGAGTTTAATAAATTTGTTTTATATTTATGTTTCATATGCATATTACGATCAACTTGAGTAGAGAGTTGCTGGGATTGAAACAGAATTTAACCTTCTGAGGCCATCAAATGATTTCAGAACTTGAACTTCACATGTGAATGTTTTAAAATAAACCCTTTTGTCTGTCTAGAACTGATGAAGGACATTAACAATGTCATGTTGTGTCGTATTGATGTGCAGAGAAAAGGTAGTTTGGCACATGGATGGGCTATGCAAGTTGAATTTCTGGAACAAAAATCCTTGATAATTTCAGCTCTATTCAAAATGGCGCAATCATTGTTCACCAGATGGAAGCCAAATTAGGAGGAGAAAATTGTAATTTCCAGATCTTAAAATAGTATGCAGACAATGGAGAAAGAAAACAAATGAAAGCTATGGAGAAACTACGTCCTGTGTGGGCTTGTGACACATTCTAATTCTTCTTCAAATAACGAAGAGAACATGATGAAAAATGCAATGCTGCAGCTTTGGGATGGGGGTGGGGTGGGCTGGCTTGGCAAATACAAGAATTTAAAATTTAATGCAAGTTTCTGTGATATAGATATCAAATGTTCCTGCCAGTGCTGAATATGCAAATAGGCACATAGGATGGCCATTGTTTCAACTCTTTCATAACGTATTTCAGTTCTGCACGGTTCAAATACTATTGAAGTCATTAAAGACAATTTTCATTTGGGTAGCCTAGCCATATTTGTCTGTTGTAACTAAAACAATGACAAGTCCTTGGGCACAAAATAGACTCAGTCTGTGGCATAAAGATTAATTGTTCATTGACTAGAGAGCTTACTCATATTTACATACAGGTATGTAGTTGGCTGGATCAGATGGTTGGATACCTGTCTGTAGAGCCAGAGGTCTGGAGTTCAATTCCTCCCTTTTCCTCCCAGGAGAAGAGCCAGCTTATGTACAGTAGCCTTGGGCAAGCAACATGGTCCAAGAACACTCCTAGAAAAAGGGAATGGAAAGTGCATGAACAGTGCATGCCTGGAATGGGGTACTAGAAATCAGAATTAACTTGAAATAACTGATATACAGATAAGTACATGAATAGACAGGGAGTTTGTAAACACATACCCCCCTCCCTCAACCTGTGCAGAATTTGTTTGCATCAGAGAAGTGGTGCTGTCACATTGGGCAGAGCCTAAAGGTAAATAGGCTAAGAGCATTGGGCACCATTCATAACAACAATTGCTAGGGTAATACCATTTGCCATTCTGCTAATTGTAGAAGGAAAGACTCTAACAATCTCACTAGAGCAAAAATGAAGATAATTTGTTAATTTGTTTTAAACTGTTGGACATAATTGAGATTTGAAGGCATTTCAGACCAACAGATATATGAGCCTAACTTTCTCAAGACAACACAACTTTGAAGTTTATATGGATCGAGTGATACCGCACGAGGGAAAATCCCAGAAACTGACTCTTTTTTTCATCAGTTAAGCATTTCTCACTCAAACACAAAGCAATTGTCAGGGCTGTTTTTCAACAAGTGAGAATAGTAGTGAGCACAAGAGGGTATTGTGTGGACCTTCTTGTCTGCTGCCAACATTTAGACTGCTCTTTGCTATGTGAAACTTGGCATTGTTTTTCCTTCTGGCAACGTGGACATGATATTGTGCAGCAATATCAGGGAATTTCTTGCATTTTAAATTGTGGGTATAGAAGCACACTATCCCATATTCATTAATCAGAGGTTTTAGTAGAATTGAATTTCCTGGCTTCTTAAAATGGAAGTTTAAATATATATACACTACACACAAATTTCAGCAGAACCTTCCCTCATGTATAATTACCCAGTGCTAGGGATCCTAGAAGATGAGCACAAGATGAGATGGTTGCTGGGAGAGGACAGAGGCAAGGACACCTGGGATGTGGCTGCAGTCCCTCCACGCCAAAATATTTTGAAGGCCTGTTTTGGACTTAATGAAATGGTGAAGCAAAGATGTGATTATGTACAACACATACAATAGAGAAACGTAGAACTTCTTAGACCTCACAGGTAAACTTACGTTGCCATGCCATTCTACAGAATGCAGACTAGAAAGCTATCTTCCCATTTCCAAACCCTTTCTTTGAGTTAGATGAGCTGAGGAAGAAAAGTTGTATCAGACCAAAAGCTTTATGACATGTTGCGTGTTCCTCCACCACCCCAAAGATGTCCCTTTGCCTTTTGAAATTAAAAAAAACAGGGATAGGTTGGAGTTAGCAAACATTGTCACTGGAAACCAAAGTTAAAATCATCCATACTGTGTGAAAGAAAGACAGTGAAGAAAGGACCAAAAATCAACATTTGAAATGTGGTGTTGGAGGGGAGATAAGAATGACAGCCAGAAAAGGAGAAAAGTGGGTGCTCAATCAAGTGAAGCCTGAACTCTCACTAGAGCAAAAATGAGCCAGGCACATATAATGAAAATACAGTAGCATTACTCTTTATTTTATAGTCATTAGTGTGCAATACACTGACAAATAATAGTTAAAATTAGGAAAAAAATTGGCTGTAATCTGTCAGATCATCATTCAAGTGTGTGTGTTTTTCTCCTGCTCCCCACAGCTGTGTGCAACAGCATACGATATCCTGTGACAAAGGAAATCCTGTTTGAATTCATTGACAAGTGTACAGCGGCAACTCCAGAACAGATACGTAAACGTCATATGGATCCCGACACTGTACTTATGCCACCACCACCTCCTAAAAGACCATTACCATAATCTGCTACTGAAGACCAAGATATTAGCATATTGTTTACACTTTTACAAGATGGTGGGTGTGGATTAAAAAAAATCTGGAAGAAGATATTATAAATATTTTGTAAATACTTAAGTGCATTTTTTTGGAATGCCACATTATGGACTTGGATTTGTTCTGTTCTTAACAAGTTGAACATTGTGTTGCAGAATTTGAAAAGATTTAATCCAAAGGGTTAGATAACTGTGAAATCAGTAGAAAGACGGCTTGTTTGATAGGCATTTTCTAAATTTAATGTTTTATACTAGCAATTTGGAACTGTGAAGCCACAACAGATGCTTCCCGTTTTTTTTACAAGTGATGTTTCAGATACAGTGGTGTTCCTTTTAACCAATTAAAAGTTGTGTTTTGTTTCATTTAGCATAGTTCTGTGTATCTTAGCGTCATGTTTAAAAAGCAGCAAATGGTCATGCAGTGAATTGTTTATCAAAGTTTAACCATTTGAAGAAACAACCTATTTATATTAAAGATGTTATACAAGTCACAGGTAAATGCCCTTTTAGGTGGGTTTTTAGTTTGAACAAATTCATCTGCTGAATCAGTTTTAATCTTGTATTTTAGGTTTTGCATACTGGTAGATAAGAACAATGCTTGATTTGAAAAGAAAAGTTTAGTATTTTGTACAAATAGTTGTAAATGGGTATCAGAAGTTGTGCATCATGTTAATGTACTTAAAAGACCATGTTAATGACATTGTATTAATACCGTTGAAAACGAATGGTGAAAGATGTTTTGGATGACAGATAGAAGTAGCATGTAGCCTCTATTACAGAGAGAGCAGTCTGTTACAAAAATGCATAGAAAAGACCATATTTTGATAAATGTACTACTATGGGGCCCCAAACATCCTCTTAAGATTTACAAATTAAGAAGCAGATTAAAAGAATGGCAATAGCATTGTTATCCACTGTTTTATTTTTGTTTTTGAAAAATATGAATCAGGTAATCTTGTTGGATTTTGTTAGATTACAACAATAAATAGTTGTTCTTTCACTGCTGCTTTTTATGGACACTGAGCTGTTGTTATATGCTTAAAATGTAAAATGTGATAATAAGCATTTTCAGATGTTAACTATAAATAAATAAATAGTATTTTGACCGTTTGTACTTATTGGTATATATAATTCATACCCATTTAGCTGGATAATTTTATTAGCTGTGTAATGGTTACAAAATAATGTTCATTAGGAAATATTTAGTATTCATATGTTTAAAGTTTTATTTTTTTTCTGATTTTATAAATGAAAGTGCAGCGTGTACTTTGTTCAGTAACCATTCTGAAGTCTGTCAATTAAAATGTTAACATGATCCTTCTAGTCTCTGAAAGGATGGAATATGCTGATCTTTATATGTATAGGAAAACACCACCTCTACCACCTATTTTAGTATAGAAAAGAGGATCCACTTAGGCAGTACTGTATAGTAGCTTGCCAGCAGTCATATAAAAATGTGCATGAAAAGTTTCTATGCAATCACACTGCACTCATTGGTAAAATGTAGTCTTCCAAATAAGTAAAATTGCCTGGTCTAATATTTTGAAGACCCATTATACAGATACAGTGGGCCCTTGATTTAGGAACTTAATCTGTTCCGGAAGTCCATTCGTAACCCGAAAAGTTCGTAACTCGAATCAGCATTTCCCATAGGAATGCACTGAAAACCATTTAATCCGTTCCGGCTGTTTTTGGTTCTTAAGTCGAGGGGCGGTTCGCAAGTCGATTCATTAGTTCCCATAGTAACTAATGCAAAGCTGCGTATTTCGTTCCTACCATTAGTGGCAGAATTGTTTCTTTTTTCTTTTCCTTCCCCCCCCCCTTTTTTTCCTTTCTTTTTTGTTCGTAACTGGATTCTGCGTTCTCAAGTAGGGTCTATAGTTTCCTATAAGATCGGGTTCATAACCCGGAACATTCGCAACTAGGGCTGTTTGTAAGTCGAGGGCCCACTGGTATAGCATAACAATTTGATTTGAAAGCTCTTTGCTACTATTGGGATAATTATGGTAATATAAGGTTTATATAATGTAGTAAATCGTAACTCTAAGTTTTAAATTTGGGTTAAGAATATTTTTGTGCCCTTCAACATTCTGTCATGATATAACAACTAGTTATTCTTAAGTGCTCTGGCATTGTGTCCTGTCACCAGGGTGTTCATTCCTTTGACAGATTTTGCCCATTTACTTTGTGTCTTATATTGGTATGTATTTTACCTTGGGAAGACAAGATCTCACATTTGAAGGGACAGTTTGAAATGTCCCTTCACCCTTCCTGTGGGGTTTGGAGGTTGGGAATAGAATAGTTGTTTCAGTTTTTCATTTAACGGGCAAAAACTGACTCAGCTGAAATGGTAAAAGACACAAAGGTACTTTGAGGAACGGAAGAACTACTTAATCCATTATTTTAGTCAGACTAGCCTGGCTTAACTGCAGCAGATAAAGGGCTTCCTTTTGTCTGAGACTGGCCTCATGAAACAAAAAATCTGTCAATTTTTTTTTAGCTCAAGTGGATTTTTTTTAAGCATAAGAGTATGGAATTACAGATAATGCAGTGCATTAAATAATGTGGACCATTCAATTACATTCTAGTGCTAAATATGTTTAAACTATTTTAATGATGCCAGTGATTTTAAGATGGGGTGGGCAAAGTGTGGCTGTTCACATGTTGTTAGACTGCTCTTCGTGAGTATTCCTCACCATTGCCTATAATGGCTGTGGATGCTGGGAGTCAGTATCCAGCAATATCTGGAGGGCTGCACTTTGCCCACACCTGACTTAAGAGAGTGTTGGTGTGCGGCCTGGATGCAAGCTGTCTGACAGTCAGCCATGCCACCAGCAGTATGGCACATTGCAGCTGCTAGTGCTGTAAAATGGCTGGGAGCAGAGGGTGTTCCACCTGTCGCTATTTACCACATCCCCCTTTGCCTTGAAGCCAGCATGGTCTCTTCTCGGGGGAGAAGTGGAAATAACTGGGTAGCCTAAGCATAAGAATCATTGCCTTCCAAATCAGAAAGCAAAGATGACGTTGCAGTGAGAAGTCTTTCTACCACATCCCCTCTCAGTTTGCAGTGTAATCTAAAGTGATGCCGCAAAGAACGATGAACAGAAATGAGCTAGGAGAAACACTGCCCTTTGAGCAGATGTATTATATTGAATAAGCACCTGAATCACAGTGGAACCAAAATTATACTTTTCAATGTTTGAAACTAGTGGCAGACAAAACTGTTAGGCCAAGAAGTTATCTCTGAGTTCTATGGAGTGGGGACTTCAGCAGGCTGAAGACTTTTCTGTTTTTAATTCTTTAATTCATAAAAAGGCCTGCCACCCTTCGTGTAGTGGTTATGGTCTAGGTAATAATTGAATACCTGTCTTTTCCCAGCTACAAGAATATCATTAGGAGTGATACTATGTCATTACTCAAACATCATTCCCATAGAGGTCAAAGTGGCAGCAAGGCTTTTTTGGTGTTAAGTGTGAAAGAAACCCTACTCTGCCATCTTGTATTTAAAGGTATGGATGACCTATTTTTCAATTCACATGCCCCTTAAAAATTTCTCAATGCCCTCCTTCAGAAAGAAAGCAAATTATTGAAAAGGGAGTGTTAGCAAATCTGTTTTCACAAGAGCTTTTGCAGTGCAGTTGAGTGAGACTTTATGCTGCCTCCCATCCTTTGTCATTGAAAGGCAAAGCTTTCTCTAAAGCAAAGTGAGGTCTTAATTTATTCCAGTCATTTTCATACGTGCTGATTTGTGTGCCCGTAGAACATACCGTAGTCTAGAAAAAAAATGACCAGCAAGCAATCTGGTGAAATAATTCCATTCTCTGTAAGGATAATGGTGGAAATCATAGCAGCTTAAATAGATAAAATGAACTAGGCCAATCTATAGCCACAGACTATACTCCAAGAGGCATTTGCATTGGTCGAGCTCATTTTCAGAGAAGATTGCAGAAGAGAGACTGAAGAGAGCTGACAGATTCCAGCTGATAAAATTGCCTCCTAGCAGACAAAATGAGGAATGAATTAAGTTGCCTGCTTAAAGAAAAAGATTAAAAATAGGTCCATTCTTAGTAATGGCCAATCATCAGTGCCTTATACAGAGACTGACAAAAGGGTGATGAAATGTTTCGAAGAACATTTCACTTAAACTCTTGGCTGCTAGCTTATATGTATAAAATAGAATACTCAGAAGTGTTTTACTAATCCCTCATTCTGGGGGTGCCCTGGGACTGTGCAGCTTGCCCAAGGCCACACAGGCTGGCTCTACTTTGCAGGAGCCACCCTGGGAAACTGAACTCTCAACCTCTGGCTTTGGAGTCAAATAACTATTGATGACTTTGGTTGTATATTTAAAGCTGCCAGAATCCTATCCTACTGAAATTAATAAAAATGGGTGAATAATGTCAGAAGCAGGATATAGTTTCTAAGGGTACTTGCAAAAAAATGAATTGCCTGTCCTGCAGTCAAGAGCATGTGGAGGCAAACAAAGCACCATTTACAAAGGCAAATAGTAAGCAGTATTTTTCAAAATCAGAAATAAGAATTTTGTAGGATATACTAATTGGATGAGAATATGAAGATGCTGTGAGGTTGCAGGGTGGGTTAGCACTTTGCTTTGGAGCATTTCAGCCCTCCTAGTGAAATTTAAAAAAAAAATGAAACATAAATGGTCACACATCAGCTCCAGTATCTGCCCTACCAATCTAGATCACATCTGAGATGCATTCTATGAAAAAGTTACAATGATCAAATGTGATCAGGGATATATGAATCTAAGATAAAATGTCAGCTGCTGAATGACATTAGTTTCTCAGTGCAGAGCAGGAAAGAATTCAGCAAAGCTTCAGCAAAATGGTAATGGAAACTATGAAAAACTATGCCATAAACTGAAATCTCATTCTTTGGATGCTTGATACTTAAAAAACCAGGATACAAAAGTAATTGTATATAGAAGGTACACAAGGACAGATGTGGAAACGAGATACTGGAGAAAATGAATAGAAGCAAAGTTATAAATACATACCGTACAAGCAGATAAAAAATCCATCTGTTTAGAAAAACAATTCAGAATGTACTTATGAAAAAGTGTTTCTATTCCCTTTATGCCTTGGAGAAAAATACTATGGTGCTTGTTTTTTAATAGAGGATCAGAAAAGAAGACAGTTAAAGAATTGAGGGAAGTTTAAAAACTCAGTGTTTCAAATTACAAGTTCTGGAAGAGGAAATGTTGAAAAAGTACTCTCTGGAAGTTAATGTATTTGGATAAATTCAATATGTCCATGAATACTTGCTTGTTTTATCTATCTTTCTGTTTGTACGTATAAATGGATAAACTTGTGAGATTTTCCATTATATCAGATGTACCTAACACATTCTGGAAAGGGAGGGGGATTCAAAGATGCATGGAAATGGGAAACAATTTCTGCATAGAAAGGAAAGTTGTGAAGAACTATCTAGAGGATGATTGAGGATAGTTTCTTATACATTCCTATTGGAGATTTGAAATATCTTTAAACAACATGAGAAGAAATAGGAGTGCAGTGGTTTAGAAATTAAGTACTGTACCTTTTGGAAAACAATTGCCTACCGCAAACAATATTGTTGCCTCAATTATTCATGTTGCCATTTCTGTAGAGGTTTGGAAATCATGTTTTCTGCATCTATCGTGGCACTATAATGTTTAGAGACTATGGTGGCAGGTTTGCACATGGATTGTTAAACCCAGCCTGAAGAAAACGCTGCTGCCTGAGATGTGCTGGCCCTACCATTGGACAGAATGACTTCTCTTAGGTATTAGGTACTTGGTGCAGTGTGGAAAGGAAAATGGCAGGTATCTCCTCACCATTTCCTCCCTTTCAAGGACAGACAGAGCTGCATTTCAAACACAGCCATAAAATACACAGCCTAAACTAACCTGCCTTTTAAGTGGGGTGAAAGATGCTTTCAAACGTCAGTTTCAATAATTAGCCTTATTGATAGTTCCCTTTCCATAATTTCAATTGGTGCTTAAATGTGGGACTCTAATTTCCTACTACACATTCCCTGCTTCCTTTCGTACTACACATTCCCTGCTTCTTTTTCTCTGCAATCAGATTGCAAAGTCTAGAT